GTTAGCAAACAAAAATTTTGAGCAATAGTTTAGTTTGACAGTGGACCTAAATAACATGACTGCTTTAGACACAGTCATAGGCCACCTTTGAAGAGCCTTCCTTATCCATGGTGCGATGAAACAAATACTCTTTTTGGTAAAGTTTTAAGAGTCAGATAAGTCTGTGAGTGAGTAGTAGATAGTAGAGATGTAAATGATTAACTGATTAACCACTAACCAACAAATAAACAATTGTCTTACCAATGTGATGAGTTAAAAAAAAAATCTTATTTTATTCCCAATATCTGGCAGTTACTGCTTGAATAGGTGGGCTTATCATTCAAGTTAAGGAATATTTTTAATTGTGTTCATGTGGGCACAAAAGGCAGTTGGTTCTGCTAGATGCACCTACTAAAAAATAAGCGTACAGCAAAAAAAGTGGTATTTGGGACATATTCAAGAGGACAAAGGAACTACACCTGTGCACCATATTGAGAGAAAACATTTGCAAATGATAAGAAAAGTATTTAATTTGTCCATGATCTCTGAGAGAAACTGTAATGCATAGCGGTGTGAGGAAAACACACATGGGTGCGCAAAACTATAGGGAAGGATATGGTGGATGACGATGGCTTTTGAGAGCTACTGATGTATGTTGAGCCAAACCATCAGATGTGCTCTAGTAGTTTTCTTAGCGTTAAGCATGTCCTCCTCCATCACCTGGCTGAAGGAGAACAAAAGCCCCTTATTTGGACAACTAAAACAACTAAAACATCCATGCTGCAAAAGAAGCATGAGACAAATTTAGTTTTTCAAAGATTGGAGAGCCAAAAAGGGAAAATAAGCATCAGTATATTTCCATTCAATTTACAAGTGGGCTGCTGGTACCATTGGTCATTTGCTGGAGTATGGGGGAATGCAAGGTTCTGTTAATATATTTTTTTCCCCAAAGCCAATGAATTGAATAGAATACAACTTTTAGATGACTAAAAGCAGTACATAATTTCAACCGAGAACACCACAACATTTTACTCTCTTGCATTTTATGCTCTAGAAGTAACCGTGAAGGTCAAGTGCAGTTCTCTAAAAGGAGACTTTCTTCTTAAAGTCACCAGTTGTAGAGTGAAATTAAGTCACATTTTCCAACTCAGAGACTGTCATATGATCTGAGGTTATTTGACATATGACGCTTGACCAAATCACTGACACATTTTTCTTCAGCACACACACACACAGAGTTCCTGAGTGTACTGGTCATGGTTTTCACACGACACAACTATCAGTAGTAACATAGAGACTGGCAGAAAAGTGATGCAAGTGCCATTCAGAGGAAAGATAGTTGCCACTTCAAAGTGTCTAATAAAATGGAAGCCATTAAAAGGAAAGAGACGTGGATCATGTGGTGAGAGTGAGAGCAAGTGTATGCGTCTTGTTCTGTCAGTGAGTGTGTTGAAAACACCACCACACCACTGTGTCTTAATTTAGCGCTGTGACCAGACGTCAACCGCAGGGTCGTGGTGCTATGCAACACCTTCCTGCATCATGGTTTCATTCTCAAGCATTATTTCCATGGTGACAGTGGAGGATTCTCAGAGAATAAGCCTAAATTTGTATTGTTACACTTCTCACTTCACCTGCTCTAGGCAAATTTCTAAAATCAGTCAAAGGACACTGTTTAATTCAAGTTCACGTTTAGATGTTGGCTTGTTGAGGTCAGCAGTATTTTCCTGGTATTGAAGTGTCCCATAGGTAAGAAGTAGATGTAATGGAATTCTTTTGAATTCTTTGATATGTTTGGTTTTAGGCAGTAATTCATTCTGATGTCCAGTTTTGTCAATACTATTTGGGTAGCCCTGGCCATTTTACAAGTAAATAACTTCAAAAGAATCTACTGATTCTAATTTTAAGTGGTTGATGTAAAATTTCATTGTGCTGAACACCCCCATAATGCGCTGGACCAACACCCTTTTCGGGGGTATCAGGATTGTTTTAGGTGTTTTTTTGCATCAGTCAAGACCTGAGGACTGCATGCCTGCTCCTATGCCAGCAACACTACCAGGTTTCACAGACAAAGTGCTGTTTTTAAATTCCATGCAGTTCCCTTTTACTCTAAATGTCCTATCAATATTTGGAATGGAACAGTTTGACTCAATTCTAGTCTCACAAGCCAAAGTATCATCTATCATCAGAGAGCCTGGTGCATTTCATCCTAACATGGCCAAAAACCATCTGCAGTGACAGGAGAGGGCCATTTGACTGACATTCAAATAAACAAACCACAGACCATGATGTGTAGAGGCAGGCAATTCTCAAAACAAGGCTACAACAAAAAGGTGTGATGCCATTTAGTTCACAAACTTTTTTCTAATTCAGTGACTGTAATACTTTAAATAAGGCACAGTCAATGGCTATTTTGTCAGACTGATAAAACCTGCTACACAGAAGTGTGTACACATGTCAGTGACGATAACCAGTCGATATGGATCTGACAAAATTCTGGTACTTGTGGCCAGTTTAGTGTGCAAAAGATAATAGGCGGTCTGTGTACATTTGTGGGCAGAGTGTCTGAAGCTGAGACTATTTTAATCCAAATGTCTTGCCAGCAATACATTCAGACCCTTTGGTGAAATCCCCTTTAACTCATCAATATCTATCGTGTGCATGTCCATGTTCAGAATAGCAAGATGCCACAGTACCTGATATTGTATCTTTCTGTGTGCTACTGTTTTTAGAAATACTGTTCATTCTGTGAGCCTAAACTAATTAGCTAAAATCAGTATCTTCACCCCCCTGCTACTGACATCTTTCATGTTGGATGATTAGTTCTGGATCACAAACAGCTCTCCAGCTCATCTCAGAGGTGTTCGATGGTGCTCCATCACTCCAGAGAATGCAGTTCCATTGCTCCATAGCCCAGTGCTGGGGAGCTATATATCCCTATAGCTCACACTCGGCATTGGGCATGGTGACCTTAGGCTTTTGTGTGGCCACTCCAGAGCGCCCCGTTCTGTTGAATTGTATATGCACAATTAAATGCCTGTGTCAGCAATGGGTGCACTTAAAGTACTTGAAATCACTGTTTAGAAGGAATGCCTGGTTATTGTTGGAAATGTAGTGTATGTCTATGGCATCATTTTACACATCTATAGAGACAGTTTCAGATCTGGTGAACATAGATGAAAATAATTCTACATCATTGCAAAGTTTTAAATTACAGCTGACAGTTTATATTTTAACCCACATAGTCACATAAATATAGTATGAAAACAATAAAAAACTACAAATATTGGAGAGCAATGTATTCAGAGAAATGCAACAAGACACATCACATGTGTCCTCCATGAGATGAATGTTAAATGAGAGGTTTTACTGCTTTTACTCTGTTTCTGAGGAAATGACAGGAGGCAAAAAGGCAACATAACACTAATTATCGACTTACTGCTTTTTGGCTTACATTTCTTAGGCAAATGAATGTTTAGCCTTGTTATGGGTCTACATCCAGTGACATATCTCGTAATTACTCATTTTAATCAATTTGTGACGTCAAGCATGAAGAGATCCAATTACTGTGCATACATATCCTGTTTGGTTATGTCTTCCATCTGGACCACTTGGCCATAATGACAGGTCTCGCAGAAAGTGGAACCAGTCTCATTAAACAAGGTTGGAAGAGAAAACTATTGATAATTTGGTGGAGTAACAACTCAAGAAAAAGTAGTAGTTAGGGCTGGGCAATGTGACTGTATATATCTTTATCATGATACTTTATGTCACAGTACAATACTTATAAACTGGATTTAGTACGAAATATTGAATTAACGTCATTGTGCTTACAGTTTTGGTGGTATTTTTTTTAAATGTAGCACTACTGGTTCTTTTTTCTCTGATCAGATGTCTGAAAAAATAAATATTGTAATATATTGTGTATCAGGAAAACATCTTGAAGTATCACAATATTATATTTTTGCCATATTGCCCATCTAGTAGTAGTAGTTGCTATTTTTTAACTTTAAAATCTTTGAGTTCCCTGTAGAACTGCAGGGGAACTTATTAGGATCTCTAGAATGTACAAGCATTTTTCTCTTTTTGGGATCCTGTTGGTCTGAAATAGACTGCTAAAGACTGAAAGTGAGAGAGGTATCATCAAGAGGCAAACAGTTAAGGTGGTGTCAACTACTAAACATAACTTCTTGTATAGTGTTCGCAAGTAACTACGCTAGTAAGCTTTTTTTGTTTCTCACAAATCCACACAGACAGACTATTGTATGCTAGTCCAACTTTTCAAAATAAGCAAAAAATACTGTATAGAGAAGGGCTGGCCAAAGGTTGCCTGTAAGGCTGTTTGATTTGGCCTGTGAAAAAGTAACTGTCACCCCACCCAATGAGAAATCAAACATACTTTTATACTTCATGTAACTTTTTGATTTATTTTTTTAATGAATTTTTAAGTATTTTAGTAACAAAATGTAGTGTAATGTTATAAGACGCCTTTTTGAAACCTACCTATCTTCTTCACTGATTTGTCTTTTTGGCCTTTGGCCTGCCACAAACATTGCACTTTGGCCCCCCACGACAAAAAGTTTGAGCACCCCTGGTGTAGAGCAAGGAAACACGTTGGGCATCTCAAGTCATCCATCTCTGGAAATTAGAGACAGCACCTGCCGTAGATTTATGGAAATTTAAATTTGCAACTTTATTTGCGTTTATCTAATCGCGCTCATGTGATCGCGTGCCTGCCCTGTCTTGGGGAAGTCTGTAATTGCTGCTGTCCAGCGGTTGTAGACCTACGGCACCGCCAATAGCTGCAGAGGAAGGCGGGGGGAGAAACGAGGAGGCAAATCCGCCCGTTTTCCGACAAGTCCCACCTGTTAGGTAAGGATTGGTTGGTCGTTCATATTCACAAGAAGGCCGACCCTGGCGCAGGACTTCAACAAAATCAGCCAATACCCGCGCAGGAGGCGGGGAATGTCGGAATACGGGCGGGGAAAAACAACGCTACCGAACCACCGTCGCGCTTCAGACACACACACTCACACACACCCCCGTTGGGTGTGTATCACTGTAGCCCATGTAGGCAGGAGAAAAGCTCTAGACTTCTCACGATCGAAGACAGCGTACCACGTTACAGGAGAGAGGTGGACGAAGAAAGGACGTCGCTGAATCGAGCAGATATGTATTTGTCCAGCCCATTTTAGCCTATTCTCTTTATTAAGGAGGCAGAGTCTCTGCCTCTAACGCCAGCGCGGTTGAGCATCTCTAACAGGCTGACTGCATCGAGGGCAGTGTAAAACGGCGCCGTGTTTATCTGGCCCTGCTGCTATCGCTTATCTCTTCCTAATTTACGTGATTCTGACTTTAACCGCGCTTTTAGCCTACCAGTGCTGATTAGCTAGCCGTCTGGAGCCGCGCTTGAGGGGGGCATGTGCTCTGTTCGTTTACTGCAACGGAAAGCTGTCTGTCTCTCTCACACGACCTGAACGACTGCAGAGGACGGCGAGACAGGGAGCGGCTGCGCTGGAGCACGTTTTTGGGGTTTTATGTTTTGGGGTCAGTAGCTAGCTGCTTGTGGACTCTGGTAGGCTACAAGACTGGAACCCTGTCAGTCCATTTGTAGGCGAGTAGCCTACCGAGACGGTTCATTCTTTAGCGGGGATATTCATATTTCACCGATGGCCGCGTTCTCTTGACACAACCGCGGCAGGGAGTGTAGAGCATATCCTTGTATTTTTGAGTTTTGTGCTAACTGAGGTAAAATGTAAACGCTCGAGATTTACAGAATCGTCAGAATTCGCAATTCAGCATTAATTAGGATCGACGCAAAGGCCTTATCGCTGTATCCCCACCAAAATGCCGGCTGGAATGAAGCCGCTGGAAAAGTTTCTGAAGAAGCAGACCAACGCACTCACTCGCGCCGGGGGCTTCGGGGACAAGGCGGTCGGCACCGGGGCGTCGCGGCGGCGGGCCAGTCTGTCTCGGGTGGTCCCGTTCTTCAGGGAGACCTCTCCCGAGGGCGGCCCGGCGCGGGACGTCTTCAGCCCAGAGACGGAGGAGGCACCGTGCTGGCCGTCCGCCGCCGCGGACATCAGGAGCCCCTCTCTGTCTAGCGACGAGCAGAGCTCCGAGGCGAGCCTGGACACCAGCTGGACGCCTCTGGCCGCGGACACGCCGGAGAACCTGGCGCTGGCGCTGCTGGACAGCGTGGCGGGCAAGCGGTACGGCAACTGCACTGGTAAGAGCCTGTGGTTTTTAAAGAAATAAATATACAGTCCCCTTTACTGCCTCTGTCAGATGCATTATCGTCACCAAACCGCAGCACCGTCGTGACTCCCCACTCATCCCGCTTATCTCGTGCGAGTGGGACGCTGAAGTGGAGGCGTTTGCGCTGCAGACATAACAATTCGCCTCTGCCCGTGTTATTTCCAGCTTATTGCGCGCTAAAAGAAATTCAAGCAGAGCACAACTGCAGCGCACAGTAATATCTGAAACAACGCCAACAGGCCAAGCTACCACACGAGTCCTGAAGTAGAAACTGCTCAGGGCGAAATTACTCCCCATTGCACCACTACAGTACACTACTCTTAAGGTTACATAATAACACGGGAGTTACTCAGCCATTACGGTAAGCTCGTTTTTTGCGAAGAAAGAAGCCAGTTATGGCAAATATGGGTTAAAGCCATGCTGATAGGCTGCCCTTGCAAGACAAAGGTAAAATGAGTAGTAATTAATTTAGCGAGGATCGGCCCAACGAATTTGAGAATTTGAATTGCCTGTGGTTCTACCTGAAGTGGCTTTGCACAGCGTGTCGTGTGTCGCCTCCTTATTTATTAATTCGAGAAACGAGGTCATGTTTCTCGCTTAGCAGCGAGAGTGTTAGTGGTAGAAAATGGCTGGTTATGATCATGTGAAATGTTTAAGGGCCATTTACTCTTATATCCAATATATTCAAGGGCTGCGGTGCGTGTAGTTGGCATCATGATGAGTTTAAGTTCACAGATGCCAATTTACTTGGAAGGATGACATAAAATGACTTTTATTACCAGCCTTTGGTGAGAAATGAGTGGAGAGAGAGATTCTGTTTCATTTTCAGCTGGGGCATTCCTGTCTGGAAGCTGTATTGTTTAGGCTGTGTATGTGGGCAAAGAAAATGATTTCCAAGGTGCTTTCCTTGTGGTTCTTCCTGTTACAACTGTCAGTCAGTGTTTCCCATAACCCACAGCATAGTTTGGAAGGGTGCACAGCACTTGTTTACTGTACCCAGACTAATGATTAACAAGGGCTTAATCACTTAAACACAGCGTCATCGTAAAGGCATGAACATCATGCACCTTGAGAACGCTCCCACTTGTAATGCTATCGATAATGATTTCTTCAGTATTCGTTGCTAGTAATAATTCTCTGTGGTGCAGCAGCGGCAGCCATTGCACATGTGCAGTGAAGTGTTATTGTGAAGTAACCATGGAAACTACAGGGCCCTGAGAAGTATGGCTTTGCATAAGGGCCAGTCTGTGGGAATGGTGCTGTATGTAAAATCAATAGACTGACAAGTCATTTCCTGTGGTCCAATGTATTATTGTCCTTACTTATAGAAGTTCTGCTGCTTCATTGATGAAGCAGATAGCATTTGCCTGGACAAAATTCTCCCTCCCATGAGTCCTATGACTGTCTAAATATGGCTCAAGCTTACTAGTCTTTAAGAGTCAAGGTTGTGTGCTTGTCGTAAAAAAAACATGATACCCAAGGAAATTATTACTTGTATAAAAAAAGTGCAGAAGGTAATGGGAAAAGAGACCAGGAGTACTTATAATGGTAAGCAGTCTTAAAAGGTTTGTCTCATCTGTTTCAGCAGCTGAAATATGTCGGCCAACAAACAACACCTCAATAAATTGTCAGCTGTAGATAGATCACATGTTGGAATTTTTCAATAAACACATTCTTTGGATGTCCCTGTACCCCTCAAAGCATGGCGTCTACATTTTTTTCAGGCCATGTTAAGATACATGTCTGGAATTTAACATTCTGGCTCTATCGCTCTCAGCATGCTAACCTTCTTTCCCTTGTCCATTTAGTACTAAAGAGATCTGGTGATGTGGGGTATAGCTGTCAGAGAAGGTCTCTGTCTGACACAAATGTAATAGTAATAAAAAAAAATACCAAAAAGTTTTTTTGATGCTCATTCAAGTAGCAAAGTGTGGTGCAAAATTGAGTCTGTTCATTTTAAATTCTATTACTGTTAGATATGAATTTGCTCTGGTATCCCCTTTAAGAGCTTTATCTGATCTATATCCAGAGTGATTTATAGACTTAATGTATTGTACACATTTGACGGTTGAGTTGAGAGCGTTTCCTGCCCAACCTGTTACTTGGAACATTATGGTGTCATTTGCAGCACGGTCTCTAATTCCAGAGGTCTGAGAACATTTGAAAAAACACTGCTAATCCTGGATTAGCTAACGATAGTCCCCCAGATTGACTGTCTCATCCAGACCTGTTGTCTGCAGCAGTGAGTCTTTGGATTATGGATTGGGGTGGTCTACTGATCCCAGGTCATGAGGCCAGTGTATCATCCTGCTAAACTCTTTAGACTGCTTTCCAATCAATACCACACAAAACATCTACTGATGAAGCGCCAACAAGTACCAAGTCGATCTACCTAAAAAAGGCCAATATCACCTTAGTGATACCAACTCTCACAACGGTGATACAAGTCAAAGCTCATCTTTAGTTTTGGAGCTCAGTCTCACATCTGCCAAGGCAAGTCCGGGACACATACTCTCAACTGAAACTCTCTATATCATTGCATGGTACGTTTCCGAGAGCAGACAGTGAGTGATGGGAGTGTAGGCAAAGGGATGAAATCAATGTTTTGCAGTTCCCTCAAAGTTGACTGGTTGATTGTTATGTAATTGTGCTTACCTCTGGAACTTCCAGTTGTTGTCCAAACGCACAACACATTTCACAAGCGTGTCAGGGCAGGATTTCAAAGGGCAACATTAGACAAGGTACAGACAACGGTTTGGCAAGCGGTTTCCCTTGATTTGGCTGTACAAGCCGGTTCTGCACAGGGAGATTCTCTTGTGTGAAAGAGGAGTGGTTTGTTCTTTCCACACTTCATGTGTAGGAGGGGGAGTGTTGTGGCTGAGGTGTAACCACCCAAAGCTGCCAACTTTAAGCATTAAGCATAAATTTGATAAGCAATCAAATTTACACAAGGCTCCCCTTACTCTCAATGTGATCAATCAGCCAAGATAAGTTTGCTTCTTTAGTTTTACACTGTAGCTACGGTGTCAGTGTGGCTAACAAGTAAGGGAAGCTTAGCACGCATTTTCCACAAACCTCGACAAGTTGATAAGTGTTCTCAATTAGGTATACTTACGTAGTTTTTAACACTGTATAACATACTGTGATTTATAAAAAGGACAAAAGTATGGACAAAATTTAAACTTAAAGGTTTCTTCCAATAAGCGCCTTACTTTTGTACCCAAACTAATTCTTTAAATGCGCTGTCTGGCTGTTGATTAGCTACATGACATTAGTTTGTTGTCGTAAAAGCCTATCTTTTCCTGTTTTCTTGGGTTTCTGGAAGGATCTAGATTGCTGCGTGTCATAATTACTGTTATCGTGTGAGTCACAGTCCACTCAAGGTGTTCGTGATGGACAAGCATGACATCAGGAAGCCATTTTGCCTTCTGCAACCACAGCTTACGCTGTTTATCTTCAGTGTTAGATCCTCTGCGACTCTGACAGCTGCAGTTAGTTGTGCACGCCCACCCGCTAGCATTCAGAAAATAGATTGGCTCTAACTACACTACCTGCTAAATTAGCTGTCCACTTACAAGCTACAAACTACTGCGTGCTCAACTTCGTTGTTGGAGTATGCTAATGAAGGACGCTAATCAGGTGGACTTAGGCTAAGAGTCACCTGTGCTTTTTGACAGTTGGCTGAGTCATCCGCCACTACACTAATCAAGCTAAACCATGTGGACCCTCTGTGGCCTGAAGCCTGGTTGAGTTAGCTTTACTGAGCCGTCCACACGCCGCCTTTCGTAAGGCAAAGCATTCTTTAGGCACATTTTCAAGGAGTCTTCAGCGAGCGAGAGAGAGAGAGACAGAGAGAGGGAGCTTAGCGGAGAGAGTGCGAGTAAAGAAAGAGATGGAGAGAAGGGGAGAGACACAAGTGCAACGTGAGAGAGTGGTGGCATGGGTCTGTGTGGGAGGAATGTTGCTTTTTTTTTCTGAAAAGAGCGAGGGATTAGGAAGAAATGGCTGCCCACTCACTGGCCTCCCTTTAGAGGGCTTTACATAACATCAGTATTTCTCTCTCTCTCTCTCTCTCTCTCTCTCTCTCTATCTGTCTCTCTTTCTCCCTCCCTCTTAATGGTTGTGCCCACTCGCTCTGTGCATAACCCACGCACCTGGGCCACTCTGTGCTGAAGAGATGGAATGGGGGGCCCCCAGGGCTACTGCTCTTGACCATGTGCAGGATGAATGTGTGTTGCCTTTAAGTGCATGAGTGTGTGTGTGTGTATTTGTGCATTCATGCTGCCATATTAATGCATGTTTGCATGTGTGTGTGTGTGTGGGGGGGGCATTTTCCATGCATTTTTCATGCTCTTTCATGCATGTTTGTGACTCTTATTCATTTTTCGACATGCCAAGTATTTGTGTGTATCAGTGGTTGAGTTTGTATGAAGGACTCTATATGTTCTGATGCCTACAGTGATATTTAAAAGCTTGAACAGCCTTGGTCAAATTACATTTTGTTAATTTTCTAAGAGAAAATAGGTCATTCAATACAGGAAACAAATTTAAACATTGAAATTATTCAGCAAAGTTTGGAGTGCAATTTCTCTATATTTTGCTTAATATTTTTTTTTTTAACATATTGGAAAAAAGAAAAAAAACTAAATAAATTAACATTTTGCACACAATATGTTCAATTGAGCAAATAAATTGTAATTATGCATTAAAGTGTGCAAAATAATCTGTTAAATTTTGTGTTCTCTATGGAGAATGTTAACTTTTTTATATTTACATCACTAATCATCTTAAATAAAGTGCTTCAAATAAAAATAGCTCATCATAGAAAAACATTGAACTGGCATTGGCTGATGATCAAGATTTCAGTATTGGTATTGGAAAGGAAAAAGTGGCATCTTGCCATCTCTACTCACCATTTTTAGATACACAGGGTGTTAATATGACAGTGACAGTGTACTGCAAGTTACATTG